GGGGGGCTGCAGAGTGCTTTCCTCTGTGGACAGGTCTCGTGCTGAGCCACCACCCCAGTTGTAGTTCCCTTGACTCAGCTGTTGCCATAGTAGAAGCTCATCCGTTCTCCCCTTAGCCCCTGAGCATTCACTGCATGCATGTTCTTTGCAGGCTCCGCTGGAAGCATGTCCCTCTGACTGTATGGCCTTCTATCTATCCCTGCTAGATGGTGACCACAGCCATGGCAGCCACGAGCAGTCCTACGTGGGGAAGCGGTCAAACCGGGTGGTGCGAACCCTCCAGAACAGTAAGTGGAGGATGTGGCTGGCCTGGGCACCTAGGTGCTGTGTCTGCCTGGGCCTGAGGGACTGGCTTTGGTCAGCAGCCACCTTCCCCTGCCCCAGCCTGGGCCTGGCTCGCTCATCTGCTGCCCTTGTGTTCTAGCGCCGTCCCTGCACTCCAGGCACTGGGGAGCTCCCCAGCAGCGGGAGGGATGGCAGCAGCAGCACCACGAGGAGCCGAGTGCGACCCCCACCCCCCTGGGGCTGCAGGAGACCATCGCAGAGTTTTTGTACATTGCCCGGCCGCTACTGCACTGTATCCTTAGCGCGGGGCAGGATAGGGCTGGCACTGTGGGCTGGGGATTGAGTTGGGGGGGGTGCGCCGAGCAAGGTCCCTGTGCTGGAGACATCCTTGACGCCTTGGCCGTCAGTGCTCAGCCTGGGGCTGTGGGGTCAGAGGTCGTGGAAACCCTGGCTCTTGGCTGGTGTTGTGGATGTGACCAGGTGAGCCTGGGCCCGCCCGGGGCTCCACTGTCCTCTGGGCTTTCTGCTACAATCCTGGCCTCACGTAGGCAGAGCAGTAGCAGCCCCTGCTCCTCCTGTTGCTGCCCCTCTGGACACCCAGCCCATGGCTCCTCCCCTTCCGTGGGCCTAGATCATGCCCCTGGCCCTGACCATGTCCTACCTGCCTCCCAGCCTGAGCCTCCTGAGTGACAGAAAGGGCCTGACCCGGAGGGAACGGCGGGAGCTGCGGCGCCGGACCATCCTGCTGCTGTACTACCTGCTCCGCTCTCCGTTCTACGACCGCTTCTCCGAGTGAGCACCCAGGCCACCCTCAGCCAGGGAGAGGGCCGGCAGGCGGGCACTGGTGCTCCGGTCCCTGCTGGTGCCTTCCCTCCCCCACGCCTCATCCCAGCTTCACCGAGCACCCACTGTGTGTTGTCTGGGTGGCAGTCAACCGATGCCAGCCATTCCGCCCGCAGAGCTCTCTGGGCCATCAGGCCACTTGAGCAGGAACTTAAACATTGGTTGGCAGGAGAGGCACTGAGGGCAGGGCTGAGGGCATTGCCAGGTGGCCCACAGGGATGGCAATAGGGTGAGCGCCCATGGCCTCTAGCTCATTTCCACTTCTTCCTGCCAAATAGTTTGGCTTATCCTCACTTCTCAGAGGAGGACCTGGAGGTTCAAGGAAGTTGGGCAACTTAAAGACACCCAGCTGGCCAGTGGTAGAGCTAGATCCCAAACCCATGGTCTCCCCTGGCCTTCCCTGCCTGGCCCAGCCCCCATTCAGTCACCTGTGAGGTTCCAGAGCTCCTAGCCTCAGAGAGGCCTGCTGGGTTGAGCAGGGGGCAGCTTGGGACCAGTGCCACTGTGACTGCATGAGGTTAGGCCACAGTCTGATGGGGGAACCCTGTGCAGTGGCTGGGACTGTAAGACAGACAAGGCTCCTGGGACCCCCTTTGTCTAGGACCTAATAACTGCATAAAAACTGGCATAGGCTGGGCAGCAGTGGCTCACACCTATAATCCTAGCACTTTGGGAGGCCAAGGCAGGAGGTTTGCTTGAGGCCAGGAGCTTCAGACTAGCCTGGGCAACCCATCTCTACAAAAAAAAAAAGAAATTAAATTAGCCAGACATGGTGGTGTGTGCCTGTAAGTCCCAGCTATTCAGGAAGCTGAGGCATGAGGATCAGGCCAGGAGGTTGAGGCTGCAGTGAGTTATGATCACTCCATTGCACTCTAGCCTGGGTGACAGAGTAAGTCCCTGTCTCAAAAAAAACAAAACAGAAAACAACAACAACAAAACTGGCATAGTTTAGCCGGGCATGATGCCTCACACCTGTAATCCCAACACTTTGGGAGGCCGAGGCAGGCGGATCATGAGGTCAGGAGATAGAGACCATCCTGGCTAATATGGTGAAACCCCATCTTTACTAAAAATACAAAAATTAGCCAGGCGTGGTGGCAGGTGCCTGTAGTCCCAGTTACTCAGGAGGCTGAGGCAGGAGAATCGCTTGAACCCAGGAGGCGGAGGTTGCAGTGAGCCAAGATCGTGTGAGTGCACTCCAGTCTGGGTGACAGAGCAAGACACCGTCTCTTTTTTTAAAACAAAAAAAAAAACTTAAGGCTGCTCCTTCCGGACTGTACCCTGGCATCTCTCTGGACCCTGCTCCCTGTCCTTTGGGGAAACAAAGGCCCGCCTTGGCCTCCTAAAGTGCTGGGATTACAGCCACTGCGCCCAGCCGGCCTTCCTCTTTTCTTTTGTTTTTTTGGGATGGAGTTTCACTCTTGTTGCCCAGGCTGGCAGCGTGATCTCGGCTCACCGCAACCTCTGCCTCCCGGGTTCAAGCAATTCTCCTGCCTCAGCTTCCTGAGTAGCTGGGATTACAGGCACGCGCCACCATGCCTGGATACTTTTGTATTTTTTAGTAGAGATGGGGTTTCTCCATGTTGGTCAGGCTGATCTCAAACTCCTGACCACAGGTGGTCCGCCCGCCTCGGCCTCCCAAAGTGCTGGGATTACAGGCATGAGCCACTGCACCCGGCCAGCCTTCCTCTTTTCTTGCGGCTCAGACAGACACATAAGGAGCCAGGCTGCCTTCCAGATGTGTGGCCTTGGGCAAGTTATTTGATGCCCTGTGCCGCATTTCCTCACCCAGGTGGGCATGATGACAGCACCCACTTTCGGGGGTTCAGTGACTAACGTATACAGCAGTGCATAGGGCGTAGTAAGCACCTAGCACTATGTATTGTCATCAGCATCCTCATCTCACCCGAGTTCCCCTGTGGAAAACCCTCATCTCTTAAAAATCAGGGCCTTGGCCCTTGCCCTTCCCCTGAACCAAAATGTGCCCTCCTCAGTACTGTGTCCCCTCCCGGGGTCCTGACTGCTCTTGGTGGCTTATGAGGTTTCCATGCAGGCCAGCGCTTCTGCCAGATTGGGGGCTTCCTGAGGGCAGGGTGGGGTTGTCTTCCCTGAACCCGCCTCCATACTGCCCGGGCGCTGCTCCACACATGACCCTCCAGAGGCCTTTGGTGTTGGATGTCGGTGGAAGTTGAAGGAGGAATGGGAGGAGGTGTTGTGGGCCAGCGGCCACCCCGAAGCTGAGCTGGTGGAGGGCGCGGAGGCCAGAGCCAACCCCAGAGGTCTCGCCCGTGTGTACCGGGCTCTGTCCTAGCTCCCAAAAAAGTCACCTTTGTTTTTGGGAATGCACTGCATTCAAAAGCGAAGGCCTCTGGGCCTCCTGGTTGCAGGGACCCCCCCCCAACTCAACTTGCTCCCCATTTATTGCTTCCGCCAGGGCCAGGATCCTCTTCCTGCTCCAGTTGCTGGCCGACCACATCCCTGGCGTTGGCCTGGTCACAAGTAAGCTGGGGCAGGGACGTGATGACTGTAGTGCTGGGAGGCGCATGCGTGCCCCATCTTCCTGACTCCTGTGTCTCCTTGCAATTCGATTCTTGGCACAGTCAGGAGAGGAAGTCGGGAAGTCAGGATTGGGTGGGACTACCCCGGCATGAGCCAGGGTGGCCTGAGGAGCCAGGGGTGGCTGGAAGGAGGGTGTCCAGTGGTGGGGTGACTGTTAGACCACATCAGCTGCCAGCCTTTTTCTGGTCACAGTATCCTGGAGCAATACGGGACCATCTCATCGTGGGGGGATTCAGTGGTGGAGAAGCAGTCCACCGGGCTGCTGGGATCCTCCCTCAGCAGAGGCCCACTGGGCTTGCACTGGGTGACTGGACCTGACTCAGGCCCCTCAGTGCCTACCCTGGCTGAGCTTCCCTGGGCCTGAGGGTCCTCATCTGTAAATGGTGCCAGAGTCCCCTGCAATGCCGCCTCCCTAGGGGCAGGGCAAGAGAGCCAGCCAGGCTCCTGGGCCGCAGGGGTGAGGTGCTGTATGTGGCGCCACAGCGCAGATTGGGGTCTGGCCCGCCCTGACGTGTCCCTCTCCCACTGCAGGGCCGCTCATGGATTACTTGCCCACCTGGCAGAAAATCTACTTCTACAGTTGGGGCTGACAGACCTCCCAGAAGGAGGGTGTGGGGAGGGGCGGGGCAGGGGGCCCCCTTCCCTAATAAAACTGACTCCAGCAGCGTCCCAGCGTGCGGCCTTTCCGTGCCTACCGGCCAGGCCCTGCACACAGCCCTGGTAGCCACCAGCGTTCTTCCCGGGACCCCCTTGACTGCGCCCTCCTGTGACGATGCCACTGCAACCCGCACCTTGTCACTGCTGGGCCAAGAAGCCTTCACTCGGAGTGGAATCCAGCCTCCTCTCCCACAGAAAGTGGTAACTTCACCTCATGGAGCCCGGGAAGCTGCTTGCCTCGGCAGCCACAGGAGCGAACACTGCTGCTCTCTCGCTGGCCCCTGGTGAGGGCAGGAAGGCTGAACCTGGGTGATGACCGAACGCTGCCCAGTGTGTCTTATGGCCGGGGCCCTCTGCCTGCCCCTGCTCTGCAGGGCCGTGTGGCTCTGGCAGCCCAAGGCCGTGGTGTTGTCAGCCTCCCTATGACAGAGCCTGGTGAACAGTGAGCCTGGCTCCCATGCAAGTGGCACTTCAAGCCCTGCATCCTTGGTTGAGAGTAAAAGGCTTTTCTTCCTTAGAAAAAGGACGTCCGGCACCGGCCAGCACTGGGGAAGGAGTGGGAGCTGGACGGGCTTGGGGAGGAAGCCAGGGCCAGTTCAGGGGGTATGAGCGGGGGTTCCCCACACTCGCCCTACAGGCTCCAGAGGCCGGGTCCACTTGGAGCCATGTAAGCTGCTATGGGGGAGGGCCTGGACAGGGTGGGCTGCAGGCTGCTCTTCTCCCTGACCTTAGCCTGTCCCCAGCCACTGGCCCTGTGAAGAGCCAGCCTCTCCTGCTAGAGTTTCAAACCCACAGAGAGGGCTCCATCTGCACCTGGGTCCTCCATGCCTCAGCTCCTCCCAGACACGCTGCTTTCCTCAGGGCCCTCTGAGGAGCGCCCCCCAGGCCCTCACCCACAGGCAGGAGAAGGGGCTGCCTGGGCTCCCATGGTCTCCAGCTTAGTGGAACAGGCATTTCTGGGCACATGCCTGGCCATCAGAAACCAGCAGTGAAGCACGGACCGCTGTCCTCCGCCTCTCACCCACAGAGGAGACAGGCACGTGGATGCAGGTGCCACACTGGGGGCTTGGGAGGAGCTGGCATGTCCAGAGTGGGGTCTAGCTTGGGGGTGGCCCGGTAGTGGCGACCACCTGCCTGCAGTGGTGACAGAGGTGAAGGGTTTCATCAGGCTCCATCGGCGAAGCCTTGACTCAGGCAGGCTTGAAGCCGGTAGAACTGTCCAGTTTTTCGATAGGCAGCCTGCAAGGGGCGGCTGTGTGCCCGGGGTCACCGCTGTGTGTAGCCTTGCGAGGTGGGAGCTGAAGGCTGGAGGGGAAGGTCAGGGTCAAACTGAACACAGCATCACAAACCCAGGGAAGAAACTTGGACCTGGTCTGTGGTAGGCAGGGAGGGGCCTGTGTTGTAAAAATTCCAGCAGCCTGGTGGAGAATGCTTTGGCGGGCAGAGGTGGAAGAATGGGGGCCGTGACGTTGGAGCCAGTGGTCTGTAGCAGTGGGAGGGGCAATGGCAGTGGCAGCAAAGAGAGGGAGATTGGGGTAACCCCAGCTAGTCTTGGGGACTGGCGTGGAGGAGGAAGATGGTGTCTAGGAGACGAGGAGCAGAAAGGACGAAGGACTTTGGGGTTAGGCAGAGCGGACAGAATTCCAGGTTCCTGGCAGAGCGAGCCTTGGCGTGCACAGGATACTGAGGTAGGCTCGTGGAGACGTGTTGTCTCCAGGACTTACAAAGGGAGGTGGCCACTGGGAAGTGAGTGCAGGGACAACATGCAGGGGGTGACTGGGCTGAAGGAACCCCAAGAACTTGTCAGCCTTGGGTTCTCAGGACCAGGAGCATGAATGAGGCCACTGGAGGAGCCAGGGTTGGAAGCAAGGGACTTCTCTCCCTGGGGCCCTCCGCCGTCAGAGGAGAGCGGCTGGGATTACCAAAGCTCCAGAGCCCTGGGCTCAGCCCTCAGGTTCTGATACTACACATCTGGGGTGGGGCCAGGAATTTTGTTTTGAAGGCTTGCTGTGGTTCTGGTGAGCCAGGTTCGCACTGCAGGTATAAGTGGACTGAGCCTGGCTGCTGAGTGGAGAACCAGGAGCCAGCCAGAGGCCTTCTGCTGGCACCTGCAGCTGAGCCCAGGCCTGCAAGGGGAGGATGTCCAGTGCAGGGCCGAGCTGCACGTGCTCACTGGGCGCCTACCAGGGGTCCAGGGCTGCAGATTCCAGTGAACAAAGCCCTCCCTGCCCTCCTGAAGCCTGCATTTGAGGGGCAGGTCCAGAGCTCTGCCACCACGTCTGGAAGCCATCTATCTAGCCTCAGGCCGCTCTAAGCTGCAGGCAGCCGAGAGAGAGAGGTCCTGAGCCGGGGACATGGGGAGCCTGGACATTCCCTCTCACGTAGACCCTGAGACGGGCAGAGCTGAAAGACCCACTCTGGGCTCCTCAGCTGGCAGGACCTGCCTGTACCTCCTGCTATGCTAGCGGGAGTTGGGGAGGCTGTTTGAATGGCTGGGGCTCTGGGTGGTGAGGAGCCCCTGCCCTCTTCAGAGGGCCTGTGTCTGTAGGGTGTGTTATGGACTACATCACAGATGAGGAAACTCCGGCACACAGAGATGAAGTGACTTGTCCGGCTACCAAGAGGCAAGGTCAGGACCTCAGCTGAGATCTGACTGTACAGTGTGTGCCCTGATTCCCTGGGCAGCGACACTAGAACAAGATCAGGTTTGGCACCTATTAGCCAACAGCATCAATAAGAACAAAAGCCTCAGGGTGGAGGTTGCTGGCCCTGCAGGTGCTGACGCAGGCCTGGAATGAAGGCCCTTTGTGAGGTGGCCCTGGGAACTGGCAACAGGTTCCGTCCTGCCAGGAGAGGGACGACAGGAGCTGGGACCTGTGTAGGAGATGGTTCTCGCCATGCTGGGGGCTCTGCACCCCCGGGCTGGGCTCAGCCTCTTCCTCCACCTCATCCTGGCAGTGGCACTGCTTCACTCCCAGCCTCTGAGGTGACTCCTGGGGCACGGAGGGGCAGGGCACTCGGGCTGGACGGCAGAGGTGCTGCCCCTCCCCTCTCTGGAGTGGGGCTGGCTGGCCCTGGTACCCTGGGTGTTGGAGGACTTGCCAGGTGCCCCCACACTGGGCCATCCCCTCATTCACAAGGAGGTGGCGGTGGCTTTCTGGGCCAGGGCTGAGCACCCCAACCTCTCCCACAGGTCTCAGCAGTCTGTTCCTGAGGCATTTTCCGCACCCCTGGAACTCTCGCAGCCACTCTCCGGCCTGGTGGATGGTAGTATCTCTCTCGTCCCCTTCCCCTGCCCCTCCCTGACAGTGGAGACTCCCCTAAGGGGTGCCCCAAGTCCAGCCTTCAGGGGCTTGTCATCCCAAACCACATCTGTTCAAGGGTGCCAGCTGCCCCTCCCACCCATGCCCTCCTTTCTCTCTCTAGACTATGGCATCCTCCCCAAGCACCCGTGGCCACGAGGGCCTCGACCCCTCCTGTCCCGGGCCCAGCAGCGCAAGCGGGATGGGCCCGACCTTGCTGAGTATTACTACGATGCACACCTATGACCCAAGGCCCCCATAAAGTTACTACGCATGACAAAGGCTTGGCTTTCCTGGGCTGGGAGTGAGATGGGGACAGGAGGGGTCCATACAGATACATCCACTGCAGTCCAGACAGGAAATGGCACTTTAATAGTTGAGGCCAGGGTGACAGGACCAAGATGGGGCTGGCCTGTGTCAGTCAGGAAGCCTCCCTCCGGCTGGGACAGGGCCTTGCGGCAGCTCCTCCTCCCCACTGAGGTCCTAGGCCTGCCACAGGCCAGCATGCCGGTGAGGTCAGTGGCAGGAGCCACCCAAAGTCCCGCAAATGACGGAGCTGAGAATGGGGTCTTCACCTCCACGTGTTGCCATTTCCTCACTGGAAAGTCCTTGGGAGGTGGCTGGGCTCAGCCTGAGCTCACGGCTCTTCGGTGGGGGTTGGGGCAGGGGCAGGGTGGGCACTTGCAGGTGGCACAGGCTTCATCAAGGCAGGACACGGGCTTCATCAAGGCAGGAGCCAGAGCGCCCGAGCCCTGGCAGGGGAGGTAAGGCCCAGGATGGGGCAGGGCCGTGTGCTCCTGGAACGGACATCCTTCTCTGCCAGAGGCCTGCCCCCCAAGCCCTGCCCCTCCCAATCCCCAGGCAGCCCACTCTGCCCTCCATAGATGAATCTAATCCCATATATTACAATAAACCGCATTTGCCTCTCCCCATTGCCCCACCCTCCCCTACCCTGGGCCAGCAGCCCCCACTTCCTCATCCCCTGGTGGTAGCAGGTGCCCCTCCTCAAGCAGTGCCACATCCTGTCAGCAGCCAGCTGTCCTGGCACTGGCCTGAGGGCCGGGGGACGCAGAGGGCGGGGCTGCGCGGCTACTCCAGGTAGATATCTTCTGTGGGGCAGGTGTACTCCACAAACTGCTTGTAGAACTGCTGGAATGCTCTCCTAGAAGCCAGGGGACACACATGGCTCAGACCGCCACTGGCAAGGGAGGAATGGGATCCCGACCCAGGGTTTTCCCACCGGAGCCTTGGGGCCTGAATGTGGCTCTGGTTCCTCTGGCCGGGGCCACTTGGCTCTGTTCTCTACAGAATTGCCATTGCATTTCCCAGTAAGATGTCAGCTGAAGACGTGGCTCAGCAGCTACCAAGCCTGGAAGCCACTCCTCGGGCTCGCCCTGCCCTGCCACCCTCCCTCCAGGCCACTGCACTGGGGTCTGGAGATGGTTCTCCAGAGCTGCGGGGGAAACCAAGGGGCAAAGCTGAGCGCCAGGAAGCAGCCCTAGGGCCTGGGATGAGGTGTGCTCCCTCGGGCTGGGTGCTCAGCAGGATGCACACGTACCCCACAGACTCTGCCAGGGCTTTGGTGGAGTCTTCAGACACAAAGACATGGCAGGCAAACCGGTGGTCGGCGGGGTGCTTGGTGATGAACCCAAAGTACCTGCAGGGACAGGTCAGTCTGTGCTGGGACAGGGGCTCGGCCCACACCCAACCACGTGAAGGCTGCAGACCACCTGTGCCTCCTCCACTGCCATCCCACCCCCACTTACTTGTTGTTCTTTGGATGATATCCACAGAAAGAGATGTTTTTTAACTGGAAAAAGTGGCTACATTTATTCCCCTACAGGAGGGAGAAAAGAAGCAAGAGGGCGGTCACCTGACCTGCAATGAGGGTGAGAGGAAACGGCCTCTTCACTCCAAGTCTTGGGGGAAAGCTGGGGGCCATGGAAGGAAGGGCCTGGGTTGGGAGAAGTCACCTTGGCCTCCTGGGAGTCATCGGCCTTGACGCCTATCTTCACGCCCCGCACGCTGATCTCCAGGACGCAGCTGGAGGGTGGGTTAAAGTGCACGGTGAGCCGGCGGGTGGTGGCAATCTATAGGTGACACACGGAGCCACGTCAGCTGCTGTCTATTCCTCTGCTGATCCCTCCTGTCCCAGGGCCTGAGCCCTGAGGCCTTTACTGCCTCTAGACACCTGTGTTCCTCCGCCCCAGGGAGCATCCAAGGGAGGAGAAGGGAGAGGGCTCAGGTACCTTTTGCATAGCGGCACACAGGACGTCATTGCCCTTGTGATAGGGAACCTGGACTGAGCCCAGGAACTTCACCCGGAACTGGTCCACCCAGTCACTGTTTTTGGCCAGGGCTGGAAAGCAAGTGTGAATTGAGGAGGGGCAGAAACAGCAGGAGGGAGCTGAGCAGCCAAGCGAAGGAGGGCGGGTGAGGCACAGGGAATGGCAGAGCCCACACAGGCTGCCACAATCCCTGGCTGCCCAACTTGGCCGGGCCTCACTTTGCTCGATCGTGAAAAGGCCCTAAAATCACCTCCACTCAGCCCCCCACCTGTCTGGCTAAGATCTGGAGTACACGTTCTCCCAGCAGCAAGTCAGGGCAGACAGATGTGGTGGCTGGGGGCACAGGCCAGGCAGGGAACGCTACCTGCCATGTGCTCGGGCTCCTTGGTGACCTCGATGGCGTAATAGGCAGGAAAGACGCCCCGGGCACCGGTGCGCATGTTGTAGGCCTCGTACCAGTAGTCTTCAGCCTGGAGCTCCACTAGCAGAGGGTCATCCACTTCCAGCTCAAGTTCGTCTTCGTGTCGAGGCACAAACCTGTCCCCAGCAAGGACAGGTGAGAAATTCGGCACCAGGGCCTGTCCGGCCAGACCTGCTCTGGGGTCTGGGAGCCACAGCGGCATCGTGATTTCAGTAAACATTTGCAAAAGCATCCTGTGTGCCTGTGGCAGTGCTAACCCCAGGGGAGAGCAAGCTCAAGCACACATGCATCTGCCATTGAGGAAACACAGGCCAAGGAAGGGTGCGGGCAGGGACCCTCTAAAATGGAGAGGCTGTGGGAAGCGCAGGCTTTTGTCTAGAGAAGGATCAGGTGGGGTGTGGGCAGGCGTCCTCTTGGTCACCCTCCTGGGTGCCCTGCCCCCGACCAGACTAGGTGCGCAGTCCTGGGATCCCTCACCGTAGCCATCCTCTTTGTCACCATACTCTGAGTCCCTAGAGAGTGGACACTGTCCTCCCAGGGCTGAGCGGATCAACGAATACTGATGGCAGGGGTTAGGCTGAGGCCATGTAGGGGTGACAAATGGAGGGTAGTGTGTGGCCCAAACTGCTGCGTGGCCAGGCCCAGCCAGCCCATGGCTCTCACCTGAATATGGCCCGGTGGGTCTGCTCCTGCTCCTCCCCATTGATGACGCAGGAGAACAGCCCGAAGGATTCGGCACCTGCAGGTGAGGGGGTGTGGCTGGATGGGAGGTCGCAACTCTGATCCAGGTTTAGCGGAGCAGGTAGAAGCCTCAGTCCTAACCAGATGGGGCCTGGGGTCGCCTCCCAGAACACTTCGCATTTTGGCTCTGTCCCGCTAGGGAACCCCCACCCCCCAACTGCTTCCCCTTGCTGACTCACTGGAGGAGCGGGAGCGGCCACTCATGAAGACGTTCAGGAACTTCTTGGAGAAATGGACGTCGGGTTCGTCAGGCGTGGAATCCTCGGAGAGGCAGGCAGGGGGCTGGGGCCGGGGGGCCTCCTCATATTCCTCTCCGATGGCCGACTCATAGGGCGAGGAGACAGAGGCACAGTTGTCGTAGACGGTGGCCGAGTCACTCTCGTCACTGTAGTCTCCGAAGCACGGCCGCAGGCTCACCAGCTCCAGCTGTGCGTGCTCATCCACCACCAGCGTGTACTTGACCGAGTCATAGGACAGGGCGCTGGTGTCCGAGCTCAGAGAGGCCCGTGGAGGTGGCGGCGGCTCCCCCAGGCTCCCCCGCCACCCTCCGCCTGGGGGCTCAGCCCGCTCTGGGGACGACAGGCAGTCGAAGCCCTCCTCCTCTTCACTGATGGAGGGGTGTGGCCGCCCTGCCGTGGAGGGGTAGGCAGCAGGGTCTGGATCGGAGCTGACCGACATCCGGCTCTCAGTGGGCGGCAGGAAGGCGGAGGTGGGCTCTGCAGGGTCTGGGGGCCTCTGCACTGGGGTCAGGTAGATCTCCTCAGTGGCCTCTAGTCGCACATCGGCCTGGTAGTGGATTCGGTCTCGATGCGAGTGGCCCCGACCCCCAGGCGGGGCAGCAGGGGGACCCCCCGGAGGTGCCATCTGGGTGGCTGTGCTGCGGCGGCAAGGGCTGTCGGTGGAGGTGCCCCGGTCTGTGGTGGGGGCGGGGCTGCTCTGGGGGGGCAGCTCATCGCTCAGGCAGATGTGTTCATGTGGCGGCGTCTGCTCCCCTGGAGAGCAGGCAGGTCATGAAGGCAGGGGCTCTCTCCCAACTCCCAGCTGCTGCACCCGCCACTCTCAGCTTGGTGACACAGAAACCAAGGCAAAGCCTCTCTGGGGCCAGTCAACTCACTCATGCTACCACTGATCTCAGCCCCCGGACAGGCTTGTGCAGGGATGTGGGTGGGCTGTTTACCTCTACTCAGCCCTTTGGAGACTGCAGGGTTTGCTCTCTGCAGTGGGGACTGAGTCAGGGCAGGCGGAGGTCCAGGTAAGGAAAAGGGCCCTGACTTACCTGTCTTCAGGGGTGAGGATGATCGAGACACCCGATCCTGCCAACTGTGCTTTTTGCCCAGAGAATTATTATTCAGTGTGTCCTGTGCGAGGAACAAAAGGCTCTTGTGATGGAAGTGGTCAACAGTGCCCGGCACAGGGAGGCCCCGGCCCTGCCCCCTCAGGCCATCCCTAGGGCCGTTTGCTGTGTTCACCCCGCCTCCACTGTCAAAGGCCTCACTCCCAACTCTCCTCTGGAGCACGCAGGAAGGGTGGCACATCACAGCCAGGCTTGCTGGCTCCGGATGGCCCTCTGCCTTGCTCAGGGAAGCTGGTCAACCCTCAGGGAGATGCTCTTATCACCCTTAACAAAGGTGGTGATGGTCAATGTGTGTGGTGGCAAGAGGGGTAGGAGGTGGGGGAGAAGAGAAGCAGGAGCTCTCTGGAGACACAGTCAGATACCCAGTCCCAGACACTGAGGGTTACTTGGAAAATGCTCAAATCCAGCCCAAGTCAGAGACAGGTGATTCTCTGCTCTGGAGCTTGGGAAGTTATGGCCTAGAAGGGGTGGGAACCTTCTGGTAGAGCCTGGAAAAAGCACAAGGAAGGGTCTCCCCAGCAGCTGGCCTGGGGGACAGGGATGAATCATCCCAGTGACAAATCCATAACAGAGTTTTCCTGCACCCCCCACCACAGTGGCACGTGACTGAGGACTGACAGATGCAGTTGTCAGCAGCCCTCCTTCCTGGGTATCCCGGGCTGCCCATTCTACATTCTCAGCCCCGGGACCCCTCCCCACAATGCCCACACAGGGCTCCCTCCCCTGGGAGCTCTCTCCCAAGCCCTCACGTTCCTGAGCCAGGCTGCCAAAAGCCATTCACAGGATCCTGGGAAAGGGACCAAGCCTTTCCCTGCAGCCCCAGCAGCCCCACCTCCCAGGAGCTCCTTCCCTGCACGGCTCCTGATGAGCCTGGAAGACAAAGGGCCACAGCTGGCTCCCCCAACCCTATTCAACTCTCCTTGGCATCCAGCCACCCTCCCAGGGGCCCTAGGCCCCCAACTTAGCCAAGCAGCTCCATCCCCCATTCCTCTCCCCTGCCTTCTGGGAATCCCCAGCTGCCCAGATCTCAAACTGCCTGTGGCCCCTGAGCTCCCCATCCCCACCTCGCCACAATCTCCCATGGCCTCCCGGACGATGACCACTTGGGATGCTCTTTTCTCCAGGCCCTGCTCCTACCCCGCTTTCACCAGGAACCCCATACCCTAAAGGAGAAACCCTGCCACAGCCTGCGGTCCCACGCTCCAAACCCTTCGAACCCCTCAGAGCCTCATTCTCTTAATTCCCTACTCCTCTACAAACCCCAATCCTTTCCTCCTTCAATCCCACCTCAAGGCTCCAAGCCCGGCCAGCTGGACTCAGCCCTCTTCCTAAGGATGGTTCTGCCCGCTGCTTGGATCCCACCCCCGGGAGCAAGTCACTGCGGCCTCTATGCAGGCGCTGTCCCCAGACACTGGACCCGTGGGTGTCCCCTTCCGCTGCAGCCCCTCTGCGCTCCCCCTCACATCTCCGCGGCGGCCCAGGGCGCCGCCCCCCGCGTTGGCACCTCACCTGAGACCGCGGCACCTGCGGGAAGAGGTTGAGCGTGGTGGGCCGCTTGGGCCGGTACGTGTCCCCGCTGCCCGGTCCCTGGCCCTGGCCTTGGCTCTGGCCCTGGCCGCGGGACGCCGGCTCCTGGCCGGACTCGGCCTTGGGCGGCCCCGCTCCCGACCGCCGGGCCGCGCGCTCCTCGTCGTCGTCCTCCTCGTCGTCCTCGGCCCCGGGAGTGTCCCCCGCCGCGTCGATCAGGTCCATCTGCAGCATCTCGGCCTGCAACCGGCTCCCCGCGCCGCCGCCGCCCGCAGAGAGCAGCCCGGCGCGCGGGGGCTGCGTGGCGCACGGAGGGGCGTCAGGGGGCGGGGCCGGGGCGGGGCCGAGGCCGCTTGCACCGCCCCGCTCCCGGGCGAGTCCATTCTGCTGCGCGAAGGGGGCACGAGGGGAGCGGAGCAAAGGCCGCTGGAGACTGGGGCGCTCTCGCCCGCCGGCCGCTAGGAAGCGCGAGGCCGCCGCCTCCCCGCTCCAGCCGTGCCTCTGACTGCCTGCACCTCCGCACAGTCCCCACCCCGGACTCCTTGCGCCCTCCCGTTCCCCTGGCAACGGCCGGTGACTTCACTGGGGTTGTAAGCCGAGCCCAGAGTGAAGTCACCGCTGTTGCTATGGGGACTCAGTGGTCGCCAAGGAGTTCGGGGGAGGGGGGGCGGCAAGGGATGGGGGCGGGGGAAATAGTATTTGAAGGGGACTTGAGGAAAACGGGAAAAACTGAGGCTCAGCCAGGCAAGGAACGGCAGAGACCTGAAAGGGATGGGAAGGGGACGCCGAGGGGGAGGGGCAGGCGGGGCCCCCGAACCAAGGCAGTGGAAGCCCCGTCCTAAGCCAGCCAGTCCAGGCCCCTCCAGCCCGAGATCGGCCCTCCACGAGTCTGCCTTGAAGATGCAGAGCCCCATCCTAGCTCCAGTTCTGCCGCCAACTCCCTGGCACCTTGGACAGATCCCCTGACCCTTCAGGCCCCTCATCAGTTGAGTGGGGACAACACTACTGCCTCCCAACCTCCAAGAGAGCTGAGTACTCACTGGAACGTGTGTGAAGCCCGCTGGAGCTTGTCTGAGGCCCCTCAGGGGCACACCTCTGGCCAGTAGTGCCTGGGGGGCCCTGCCTAGCTGGGGGGCAACCCTCTCCAAGGCTCTGCTAGTGCAGCTGGAGGAGAGGGTAGGGTGAGAGTCCAGAACAGGTGCCTGACCTTTGAGAAGCTAAGTAAGGGCCCTGAGACCATTCCCCAAATCTAGAGGCCTCTGCCTCTTCCTGGCCTGGCCGGAGAGTGGAAGGTTGGGGTACTGGGGACTAGGGGGTTATCCACACCCCTTGGTTTCCTCTTGCCTGGCAGAGCTTACTGAGTCTCTGGGGGTAGCAGGAGGTCAACACAGAGACAGGCACCCCCTCCCCAAGGCATAATGCATGCTCCTATGGTAACCACTCTCCTGACACCATATCTGGCTACCTGCCCCTCTTGGGGGCTCAGAGGAGCTCTGGGCTCTAAAACCAACCCCTGTGCTCTGTCCTCCATTTCCTGGCTAGCCAGCCCCTTCTTCCTGCTCTGAAAAGACATAGTTGGGATCCCCATCTGACCGCAGCTCCCCAGGTGCTGGGGACCTCCTGGAAGCATTCAGATCTTTAGGGACAGGAGAGAGTCATCTTCCCTAGGACAAAGCCAAGGGCCCCAAACCAGCAGCAATGCTGGGCAAACTCCTCAGTGGGGGCCTTTAGGACTAGGGGCCAGAGATGGTCTGGGAGGCCATGCAGTGCCATCTGTCTGGTGTATAGCAGCCAGCAGCCACAGGAGTTATTCCAGGAGTGCCTTGGCTGTTTCTTCCTGCCCCAAAGCACTGCAGATTCTACCAGACTCCACCCCGTCTGCCTCAGGCCCTTTCCAGAGCTGCTCCCAAAAGGATTTAGGGTAGCCCTGAGTCTCCCTTAAGTCTGGTCCTAATTGTTAATGCCCTAGGTCTCAAGACTTCCTACCTCTCTCATCTTGTGGGCAGCTGAAGGAGCTACTTCCTGCCTTAGTCCCTGTCAGCAGTAATAATAATAATAATAATAAATAAAATTCTGATTGTACACCCAAGACATGCCAAGCAGTATACCTATGTTTCTTGCACATCATTTCATTTCATGAGGGTGCCAGCACAGACCTGAAACCCCTTTATCGATATAGGGATGCCCTTACTCCTGTCCTTCGTCTTCCTGCCACCCCACTCAGGAGCTCCTGGGAGCTCACCCTTACCCGTAAGGACAGGGTGTCTTTGCACTGCAAGCTGATGCCACACTCATCAGTGATCTCCGAGAGGTCTTCATCCTCAAACTCCTCCAGGCTGATGTCGTGGGTGAGCCTGGTGGGGACAGGAAGCCAAAGTTACAACTCAGGGGCACTGCTATGCCCGCTCACATCTCCCTGTTACCTCTTTCAGGGGGCAGCCTCTTGAAGGCTGAACACAGCCCCCAGAGGACAGGATTTGGGGTCCATCTGTGTCAATGCAGGGGGTAGTCAGCAGGCAGGGACAGAGCATGGGGCTCGGGCCAAAAGGCAATCCTCCTAGGGTGGCAGCGGAAGAGGCGGCTCTGGGTTACTCCAGCTCCTCCCTGGGAGTTGTCATTCTGTTGCCAACCAGCAGGCAGTGCTTAGAAGGCCTAACTGGTCAGAGCCTTCTCCCAGGGTCAATGCCCTCCATGGTGCCAAGGCCAGTTCACCAGGGAGAATCCATGGAGTTGAGAAGAGCAGCAAGCCTTGAGTAGGAGAGCTCCCAGTGCAATCTCTGCAGTAGCAAGACCCGAGGCACTGGCAGCAGCCTCAGAGGAGGGCCCCATGCCCCAGCTTAGGAAGACTCATGCCCCTTGAGCCCAGGGAACAAGCGAAGGAAAATCTGGTGTGGATAGTTTCAGCCTATTCCAGAAAGGACTATAGCCTCATGCTGTGCACTTGGTGGTCTCATCTCTTCAACCACAAAATCTTCTCCTTTTGCATTGTAAGGACCCTGAACAGGAGGCTGCACACATGGGGTCAGGAAAAGCCCCAGGTGGAATCAGAGGTGTTATAAACTCAGGAGTTATAAACTCAGGAGACAGGGCACTAGAACACTAACCAGCTCCACCAGAACCCCCCTCTCCCTAGGCCAGCCCTGAGTCCCACCTCAGAATGCAGAGCTGGGCCAGCCACTGCAAGGCAGCCTGTCTCTTGCTCACCCCTAGTCCTGGGCACTCTGCCTGGCTTGCTAGAGGGTAGAACATTTGGGAAGTTGGGAAGAATGTATGAGGCTTTTCCCAGATAAGTCCAAGAAATTGAGACACAGAGCAAGGGAAACCCACGAGTCCAAGGTCACCCAGGAGAGATGGTGGCTTAGCCCCCAGGGGAACCTAGAAGGCCCAGACTCCCTGCCGCTCGCCTCAGTCAGACCAAATAGAGACCCTGAGCTTGATGGAGCTCACCCCAGCTTGGTCTCCACCCCCGCCAGCCCCGGTAGCCCCTACCAGCGCTCCCATTGATCCTCCAACCAGCTGTCATTGTCTGGGCTCGAATCCATCTTCAGCACCAGCTGCATGGAGAGCCCTGCCCGGCAGGGGGGCTGTGGGGCCCCAGGGCTGCCCTCTCATGCCCGGAAGGGTGCGGGGGCCAGGGCTCAAGGCAGGGCTGGGGGCCTCTGGCCTCCACCGCCTGGGCCTGTCTTTCTGCGTCCTGCCCGCTGCAGAAGCCTGGGGAGCTCATTAAAAATAGATAGGCCGGGAGAGGAGGCTGCAGCTGCCGACCCGGGTCCCAGCCCCAGCTCTTCCCAACGCAGCCTTCAGCTGCAGGCAGCTTCCTCCCAGCTGGCCCTTGCGCTGCTGCCGCTGTGGCCGCCTCCCTCACGGGATCAGGTTACTTCAATCAATGCCACTGGCTCCACCTGCCCTTCCAATGCCCCTGTCGGGGACTGAGGTGGCCCCCCTCCCTGGCCCAGGCTTGTAAGTAGATGGCAGAAATCTAGGATGTTTCCCCCCAAAAGCCAGCCCTTGATTGGCTTTAAAGGGCCAGTGCCCCAGTCAGGGTGCCAGGTGGGAGATGAGGGGGCGCTTCCCAAACACCTCAAGAATGAACACTTCGTTTGCACTGCCATAGGCTCAGCCCTCCGACTTCATCTGGGAGGCTTCTGTGGGCCCAGGCTGCACCCAAACTGGATTTGATCTGGGCTGCCTCCTCCTGCAGCCAGGGCTCAAAGCCTTCGGGACCCAGGAAGGCAGGGCCTATGGATGCAGGAGGTGCCAGAGCCACAGCTAAGGGCAGGCCAGTGTTTGGGCCCTTAGAGCAGAGCTGGAAGGGCTGCTGGGTGGTAACGAGCTTCCTGTCCCTTTGGAGTGACATAAACAGAACCTGGAGGCCCCTGGAGGGCACTGCACAGAGGGGTGGAGGATGGGGGCTGGATGGACAAGGTGCCCTGTAGGGTCACTTCTGACTGGCAGCCCAAGGGTGGTGGTGCCCCGGGCCATGGGGAGGGTGTGGCCGGCCAGCTGGGGTGGAACTGGGGAGGAGGGCCTGGCCCAGAAGCCAGAGCAGCCCTCCTGCATCTGTCCAGGACAGGTGGCATCTCTAGCTCAGGGACAGTAACCCAGTGGCCGGCACCAAGTAAGTGTTCAATTCACACTGGCTGCCCGGATGGTCACCGAGAAGGCCAGTGGTGCAAAGGGGAGGCCCTGGGACTCAGATGGCATGGGAGAGCTGCAGGACTGCTGACCCAGAGGTGCCCTCAAATGCCCTTGCTCTGTCAGTGACCTCTGCACTTTTTTTTTTTTTTTTGAGACAGAGTTTCACTCTGTCACCCAGGCTGGAGAGCAATGACATGATCTCGGCTCACTACAACCTCCGCCACCTGGGTTCAAGTGATTCTCCTGCCTCAGCCTCCCAAGTAGCTGATATTACAGGTGTGCACCACCACGCTCAGCTAATTTTTATATTTTTAGTAGAGACGGGGTTTCACCATGTTGGCCAGGCTGGTCTTGAACTCCTGACCTCAGGTGATCCGCCTGCCTTGGCTTCCTAAAGTGCTGGGATTGCAGGCATGAGCCAAGGCGCCCCGGGCCCCCTGCACATATCTGTGTCTCCTCACACATGGTTCCTCTTCCTCACTGCCAAGCCCTAGTCCAGCCCCTGCCTCTGCCCTCCCAGATGTCCCCACTGGCCTGTCTGCCTCAGTCTCCCCATGCCTGCACCATCCCACTCCACCTGCCACTATCAGACAAAACTGCCAGAAATGCCATCATCCCTCCTGCCCCACTTGGAACCCTCAAGGCTCTCCGCTAGCAGCAAGTTCCTGTGCCTGCAGACCAGGCCTCCGGCTCCATGCGTAGTCCGAGTGGGCCCTGTGTCAAAACCAGTGCTCAGATGGAGCACATGGCAGACTCTCAAAGCATGCTTGCTGGAGGAGTGCTCAGTTAAGCCCATTCCTCCAGGAAGCCCTCCCAGCCCTTGCATGCGGCTGATGTCACCATCTGCCTGGATGTATAGTAGTGTGTGCAGCACACAGGGCCAGCCCTCCCTCAGAAACACCCACTTCCCCAACCCTGGTTGCTCCAAAGGTGGATGGGGCCTGTACACAGCACCCTGACTGATGACCCTATACTGTACCCAGCAGGTGATCAAGACCCCTTCCTCCCCTTGCTCCTGAGGGCAGAGCTGGCGAGTTCATCCTGCACACACTGGGTGCTCAGCATGAGCCTGCTAGATGTCTGTCAAAGGACAGCCTCCGCCTCCACCTGCTCCTCTCGAACTGCAGGCTGGAGCAGGGCCTTCGGGGTCTGGCTTAGACCTGGGTTAGAGGCTTCTCAGTTCATTTCCACACCTTCAACATCACCTGATATTCCCACTTCCTTGGACAATAGGTCTGGGTGAGGCAAGGACAGCAGCATCTTCTGGTATAGCTGAGGGCACTGGGCTTTAACTGGGCAATGCTGGAAAGAATACTGGGCTGGGGGTCAGAGAACCCATGGCTGATCCCTGGCTCTACTGGGGTGGGTTAAGGGGGATGATTTGTCTAACTTTTTGGGTGCCTCTCATAAGTAAGGCAGGATGGAAGAATGATCACCGTATCAGGCTTGGAAGCGGGAGGCCTGAAATAAATCCTGACTCTTTCACGTTGAAGCTGCCCCATCCTGGCCCCAACATTTATGCCATGCATCTCTCTTAATCCTCATTGCAACAACCTTGGGAGAGGGTTCGTTCCATTTTTCCCATTTTACAGATGAGGAACACTAAGGCTTAGACATAAGGTGCCTTATGCCTCAGTTCCCCACCTACAGGATGAAGCCACCAATCCCTGCCCACCCACCTCAGAGGGCTGGTGAGGGTTAGCAGAATGGAGTTTGTGTGAGTAGGAGGTCACTACCCAGGATCCAGGGGGACTGATTGGTCAAAGAGTCCCCACTGCAAGTCACCTCCCATCCAAGACTCTGCCCTTTCCTCTTTTCCAGGCACCAGATATTCTGGCCTCCCAGCCAAAACCCTGGGGGGTTCCTTTATGGAGAGAAGGCTAAACAGATGCTTGGTCCCTGAAGGCTCATGGAAGGTCAATGTGGGGAAGGAAGGAGGGAAAGGAGGAGGGAGGAAAGGATGGAGGGGAGAAGGAAGGGGAAAAGAGGGCGGTTTCAGCCGGGCGCCGTGGTTCAAGCCTGTAATCCCAGCACTTTGGGAGGCCGAGACGGGCGGATCACGAGGTCAGGAGATTGAGACCATCCTGGCTAACACAGTGAAACCCCGTCTCTACTAAAAAATACAAAAAACTAGCTGGGCGAGGTGGCGGGCGCCTGTAGTCCCAGCTACTCGGGAGGCTGAGGCAGGAGAATGGCGTAAATCCAGGAGGCGGAGCTTGCAGTGAGCCAAGATCTGGCCACTGCACTCCAGCCTGGGCTACAGAGCGAGACTCCGCCTCAAAAAAAAAAAAAAAAAAAAAAAAGGGGGGGCGGTTTCCTCCTGTCCTGCCTGATCCACCCTGCTCATGGCAGCCTTAGCACCAGCAGGCCTCCAAACTGAATCCTACAGCCCTCTACAGGCCGGCCTCCCTCACCTCTGGGTCTGGAAGTTTCAGCAGCCTCCTGTAGAAGCAGCCCCTGCCCACCCTTCAGACCTGCTTGTCTATCCTGGGTGCTGTGATCCTTCAGACGTCATCCATATTAACGTTTGGTGGCTCTGAGCCATGAGTTTGGTCTCTGGAGACCGCCCTGACCTTTCTACGTGAGGCCCCTGTTCCTGCATTCACCTGATTCCTCCTACCCTGCTGCCTCAGTCCTTGCTTTTGGCCCTGCCGGCTCCTCACTGTTCTGGCCATGCCAGCCCCTGCTCTCACCCCACCCTGAGCTGTGTTTTCCTAAATGGCCCTGAACAAACATGCCTTTTGTGTTCTGATGTTGGTTTCCGGCCTTTTTCCCCTGCCTTGCTGGGTTGCATTTCTACCGACCGCAGTCCTGCCCTTTCTGATGGACTATTTCAGCTCAGTAGTAAGCTGAGTTAGAAGTGTATGTAAAGTAAGGGTTAAGTGGTAAAGTGCTGAGGCTTTAGCTGAGCAAGGCCGAATCTGAGCCAGGCATTGGCTGTTTGGATGCCATTCTTTGGCCTTTGCATTCCTGGCTGTGCTGTGGTGAGGTAAGGATGCCAACTGATTGACCTTGGGTCCTGGCCACAATGCCCCACAGGCTTCTCTTGTGACAGAGGGCCCGTGTGGTCCAGGGGTCCAGCCTGCCTCTCTGCAGCCCTCTAAGTGCTGAGAATGAAGCTGGTTCCCAATGAGTTATCAAGACACCTGTTGACTGGCTGCTCAACCCTATGTGGGTTCCCCATTTCCCTCTGGTTCCTCTACCAGCCACTCTCCACCAGGCAATGACAGCAAAGCTGACCCTGAAATACAAATCTGGTCTGGTCCCTCTTCCCCAGCTCAGAGCCCTTTAATAGCTTCTTCAGGTCCTTAGGGGAAGGGCCCCAAATTCTCATCTGTGGCCTGAAGGCTCTGTAAAGCCTCCTTTCCCTCCAACCAGCATCATTTCCCCTCATTCCTCCCACCTCCCGCCTTTATCTCCTCCCCCAGTAACGCAGCTCCCAAAACAGTAGCATGGTCTCCTCTGCAAGCCTTCTCTGACCTCTGGGACCAAGTCAAACCGCCCTGCTATGGGCTCTCGGAGTCCCTCCTGGCTGTGGTTCCGAATCACTGTAATTTTACCTTTGGGTTATGTGGCCTGTGGTGGCCTCCCCTTGGAGTCAGTTAATCCATATGGGTGGGATCATATCTGTTTCGATCAACATGTGTGGTGCCTAATAGGTACTTAACAAATGCTGAATGAATTAACCACAGGTGTCCCGGGGCTCTCTGGATTTTTGCCTTGGAAATCTCTGTCAGTCCACTTTTCAAATCAACTTCCTGTGTTCCCACCTACACCGGAGTCTGGACTAGGACGTCAGGTCCTCCGGGAAGATGGCACTGGCTGAAATGGTGGGGTGGGGATGAGCCAGGTCCAGTATCCCTCTCAGGGCCTGTCTCTACCCGCACCAGCTGGCTCTGGGTGAACATGGGGTTGGGCTGGGTTTGTTCTTTGGGTCGGAACTCCCTTCCTGACCACCTCCATACGGGGACGGGGGTCATCTCCAACGAAAACCGAATCCAACCAAAGAAATGAGCCCCGAGGGACAACCCCACTTGGGGTATAACGTGTTTGATCTGTTTAAACATCCTCATGACGACACGTTGCAAGAACTCTGGGATCCAGTGATTCGACTTTTGGGAAACGGCTTTGAGGAAACAATCCCACATTGTTTGGAGAAGAACCGGGACACACAGGATGTTCCTTCCTCATCATAGCAAACAACTGAAAACACCTGCGTCGCCAACACCAGGGGCTGGTTCCACCGTCACCATCAGTGGACGGAATGTGACGCAGTCTTTTGGAATGAACGTTATAAAGTCTGCGTATTAAGGTGCA